CCACAACCGAGACGGGCATGATCTCACTTTCTTTTTAAGCTCAGTCAGTAACACCGGCAGCCAGGTTTAAAAGCACGAATTAAGCTGTGACTGCCAGCTGAAAGTGGGAATGTAACTATTAGCCTTATCAAGGTAAGGACTGTGTTTCACTTCCAGCCAGCAGTCCAGTGTCGGGTCCAGGACTCTCTGGCTGGGCCAGTGTCGGGACACAAATTTCGACGGCTCAGAATCATTCATTGGAGCAGAACTGTTTGACCATGGACTTCGGGTTCAGTGTCGATGATCAACTGTACGTGTGCAGCTCATCCTGCATTTCCAGCAGTGCTTCAATCATGTACTCACGATCCCGGAATGGAGCATAGTAGGCTCGGTGGTTGATCCACCTGACAATGGCTTGTTCCATGGTCATCGAGGCAAAGGCCATGACTAGGACACAATAAGCAGCACAGGTCCTGTTAATGCCACCGTAGCAATGGACAAGCACACGAATTGGCCTCTTCTTGCCTCCACGCTTCCGACCACCTCCCTGAAGCTTCATCGCCTCCAACAAAGCAAGAGCATTACCGAGCTCACCAGGGAATGTCTCATCGGCCACCTTCAAGGCACTCTGCCTTCCATCGGCACTCTGCCTTCCATCAGCGGCTCTTCCGAACAGGCTGCCCATGTCACTTCCCTTGCTGAAGCCCTTGTCATAGGAGCAGCCATAGCCAAATGAGCCCTTCGTCGATGCCTTCTGGCTTTGCATGTGATTGGAAACCTGACAGGGGCCGCTGTAGCCCTTGCTGATTGTCTTGCCCTTGCCCCTGCCGCCATTGGCCTTGCCCATCATTTTGCCCTTGATGGCACTCTGCCTTTGACTCTGGCTGAACTCCTCTGCTGAGCGCTGCCAGCACATCATAATCTTTCTGAAATCTGAAATGAGGCGGCGCCAAATGGTCTTGAACTCATGACTTCTTTGTTCAGCATCAAAGTCATTGGCATGTGTTTGATCCCAGCCACCATACCGAAGATGTGCAGTGCCAAACGGTCCACAATTCGCCAAATACTGATACCAGTCCCATGGCTCAAAATTCCGAGGTCTGTCATCTGCATTCATAGAGATGACAATGTCAGGCTTGACCCGGAGCTGGTCATATCGGATCGGGCAACCAATACTGCCAACAAACAGTTGCCACTGGGGATGGTCGTAAATCAAAACATCATCCATGGGCCACGTCTCGACATCATGCTGGCATGGCCGAGGTGGCGGGATCGACCCAGGCAGCACATCTGTCTGGCCGGTCCATGCTTTGTACAACTTCATATCCATATCTCCGAAATCTGAGATGGCCTCAACTGCCAATTTGATTCGTTGATCCAATTGTGCAGCCCTTTGGATCTTTCGGAGCCCGGTGGTATAGTCGGCAGCTGATCTGCCACAGTGTAAACAATTCCACCGAAGTTGTTGCACGGCTTCGTTCCAGTAATCACTGCCAAGGTCAATGTGATTGGCCTGATTCTGATGGTCAGCAGCAGAAGTCTGGCACTCTGCCTCGGAACTCCCTGAGCACCTTGAAACGGTCGTCGGCATCACTGCTTTCATCGAGCACACAATTGTCCAACGATTAAAACATTAACAGTGACTAATGCATCACTATACAGTACATTAACCAATGATATGTAACATTGTGTTACTACTGTTACATCAGTATGAATGAATCACTTGATTCCCTGGCCGGCAGATGTCGATCATGTATGGTGCAAGGCAACTCACTGACAGACTATGCAGGCAGGCAGGCAGGCAGCCAGCCTCGGAGACAGCAGGGTCCTGAGGACGTCACTGCCACCCGGCACTGTGTAGTCAGCATGTCATGCTGGGTAACCTTTTTGAATCCAAGTTGCGCACACTACCGCTGAGGTCTCAAATCGGACAGTCTAGCTCTGCTGGCGAGATCGTCGAATTCAAAATCCTCTAAGCACACGCAAACCCGGCACTCTGCCTTCCCCAACATCCGTAATACGGTCTCGGAGGCTGTACAAACACGACAAATCATTGATTCAGTGACGACACAAATTCGTCTGACACATTGTAATGTAAAATTCCTGGCACTCTGCCTTGCCGCACAAATCTCGGAACGAGTACGCACAGGATCATGTCATTGATATGCCAGTCTACTTGCAAGACTTGCCCACGCTCTTCAGAATTCAGAAACATCCACAATGTCGAAAAGGACTCCTCTAGCAGCTCGTCGAAATAAATCACATAATCATCGTCGTCAAAACTGTCCGCGACCGAGCCCACAAACGAACCCCCAAACGCCGCAGTGCTTGCAAACTCGCCAACAGCCAATAAGTCCGAGACCGAGCCCAGAGACTCACTGTCACTCCACGACGTCGACGACATCTGCCGGCTTGCACGGAGGCCTACTACGACTTAGACTAGAGACAGAGCAGGTCGTCGGGATCACTGCTTTCATCGAGCACACTTCAATTGTCCAAAGATTAAAACATTAACAGTGACTAATGCATCACTATACAGTACATTAATCAATGATATGTAACATTGTGTTACTACTGTTACATCAGTATGAATGAATCACTTGATTCCCTGGCCGGCAGACAGATGTCGATCATGTATGGTGCAAGGCAACTCACTGACAGACTATGCAGGCAGGCAGGCAGGCAGCCAGCCTCGGAGACAGCAGGGTCCTGAGGACATCACTGCCACCCGGCACTGTGTAGTCAGCATGTCATGCTGGGTAACCGTTTTGAATCCAAGTTGCGCACACTACCGCTGAGGTCTCAAATCGGACAGTCTAGCTCTGCTGGCGAGATCGTCGAATTCAAAATCCTCTAAACACACGCAAACCCGGCACTCTGCCTTCCCCAACATCCGTAATACGGTCTCGGAGGCTGTACAAACACGACAAATCATTGAAGCAGTAACGCCAGAAATTCGTCTGACACATTGTAATATAAAATTCCTGGCACTCTGCCTTGCCGAAAATCCCGCCGAAGTCTCGGAAAGAGTGTGAACATGATCTGCTCATTGACAGACCAGGCTACTTGCAAGACTTGCCCACGCTCTTGAGAATTCAGAAACATCCAGAATGTCGTAAAGCACTCCTCTAGCATCGTGTCGAACGGAATCACAGAATCATCGTCGTCAAAACTGTCCGCGACCGAGCCCGCAGTGCTTGCACCCTCATCGTCAACCAGAACCCAGTCCGAGCCCACAGACTCACTGTCACTCCACGACGTCGACGACATCTGCCGGCTTGCAGGGGGGCCTACTACGACTTAGACTTGAGACAGAGCAGCTGTAACACGACTATAGTAGATTACGCAGGGCAACAGCGAGCACAACTGCTGCAGCGGCAAGTTGCGATACATGACACGCTCACTGACTATGCAAGGCAGCTTGTCCTCTGCGATGGCAGCATGTCCTCAGGATCCTCGTCATGAGCCTCGGTGCCAGGACTGTACCATAATAATGGAAGTAGCTGAAGCAAGCTGATGCTGAGATCCCAGCAGTTGGCATCCACTTCTCGATGGGCTGGAAGCCGATGAAGACCGATGGGAGAGAAGGAAATGGAAGAGAAGGCGTTCACTAGGCTTGGATTCAAACCGAACACTTAGACCTGGCCAACGGTGTGGGGAGCAACCCCGATGGGGCAGGGACTTAAGTAAGGCAACCTCGAGAGGCTCGACTGGCACTCTGCCTCTGTCGATCCAAGTCGCAAGGCTCCCTAACTAACGTGACAAGCATGGATGGCCTCCCCTCCTGGTTGGGAGAAAAATAAAAAAGCCACAACCACTGGACCACCCCACCCGGCACTTTAGCCCATGTGCCCGGGTGTCATATGCCACTGCCCTGGCACGTTGGCCCCAAGGCGGTCCAGGTACCATCGACAACACCTGACACCCGGCCAACGGTGTCCACGAACCGAGATGGGCAGTCGATCCGTGTGGGTAAGGTGGCACTCTGCCTCTGTCGCTCCAAGTCGCAAGGCTCACTAACGTGACAAGCATGGATGGCCTCCCCTCCTGGTTGGGAGAACAGATCAAGCCACAACCACTGGACCACCCCACCCGGCACTTTAGCCCATGTGCCCGGGTGTCATATGCCACTGCCCTGGCACGTTGGCCCCAAGGCGGTCCAGGTACCATCGACTCAACACCTGACACCCGGCCAACGGTGCCCACGAACCGAGAAGGGCAGTCGATCCGCGTGGGTAAGGGCAAGATCTCAAGGCAAGTCAACATGTCACTACGGCCTCCCTTCTTTGTTCAATCACAACCCAAAACTATTTAAAAAGATTAAATATTAAAAATTATTAACTTCAACAACAAATAAACAACAATTTTGTAGACATACAGCAGCAGGAAACCAGGTAGAACAACAGGAAGCCAATTGACTCACTCAGAAACAAAATTCACAAACATGTATTTTTTTTACACCAAAAATAAAATAAAAGAATTTTAACAACTGTAAAACACAAAAAAACCTATTTAAAACACTTTTAAATACAAAACAATACTTTTAAATACAAAAAACACTTTTAAACACAAATAAAGCCAACCACATACAAAAATGAGATTTTGGGTTCCTTTCATATAAGCCTTGTTGATCTAAACCCTGTGGTTCTGGTTCGGCGCAAAGGGTTAAGGATTGTTTGCAAATCAACACCGAGAAGAATGAAGCAAACATGAAGTGCATCCACCAGCCTGGTGGGAGGGAAATTCAGTCGACAGGTCGTGTTCCGTCCCAACATGACCTGTGATGGTGTAATATCGAAGCCTAAATACAAACCAATATTATCCCCAGGGTGCCTTATCATAATTATGTATGGTCATAATGGGCCCCAAACCCCATTCCAATTATTGGATAGTTCGACCGACTCAAAAGCAATGGGGTTTAGTATTTGGGACCTCGTCGGCTAAGAGAGGGACATCCGCGCCGCGGTGCAGTCTAAAGCCGATTCTTCGTCCTTCGTACTGCCGGAACGATCTCTGGCGAGGCGGGTGAGGACCAGTTCGGCTCCTCCCATCCAGCCACGCTGAGCGCGGCCCTGGACCGAGGGAGGGTCTCAGCTTGGAGGTTTTGTGTGGTTCCCGCGTTTCAGTGCCGTGCCTTCAGGGCAAGCTCTTGGGATTCTTCTTGGGCGAGTGCCACTTCGGCTTGCTCCTTAGCCACTCCCATTTAGGGGTTCAAGCTCTCGTGTTCCGTTCATGCTCGTCGTTATAAATTAGAAGATTCAGGGAGCTTCAGGGTCCGACCCGATCGAACCCACCCCACTGTTGCTAGGATTTGAGCACCTTCCTGCGAAGCATCGGAAAGCTTGTGAAGGCCCTGAGCACCTTGGCTGAGCTGATGTTCGGGAGCTTCGGTAAAGACCAAGGATCCCGCTTCGAAGGAAAGGATCATGTGGGGTGTAGATGGTTATTATGTTATAAGCAGACACACCAATTATGTCCGTGAAGTCCTCGACCAAGGGCCATGCGTACAGAGCCAGAATGCCCTTCAACCATCGACCTAACCACCAAACCACCAAGCTTGAACCCCGACAAAGCCTCAGCGCCCCGAAGCGAACTAAACCAGCTAAGCTGTTAAGAACCTACTACTACTACTACTACTGCTGCTACTACTACTGCTGCTACTACTACTGCTACTACTACTACTACTGCTACTACTGCTACTACTACCTGAGGCATCACCACCGGCCTGGCCACGAAACTCCAGGGCCAAGGAAACATGGAAAAGGCCGAGGCAAGGCTAGGGTGTCAGTGTAGTGGGCCTTTAAAAGGGTACAATAGTTAGGGTTCTTTAACAGGATCCCCTTAAAAGGATCCTATAGGGTTCTATGCTAGGATCTCCCGTAAAAGGGTCCTATAGGGTTCTGTATTTGGGTTTAACAACGTTAGGCTTAGTCTAGTGGGGTTTCACCCTGAAGCCCCAACCCCATATCTGGGCCAAACGAGCTTTCAGCGCTTAATTAAACTCAACCCGAAGACCTTAGGTCCCTAAACCCTAAAGATGGATCCGTTTCAACTTTTCAATTTCAAATCGTTTCACCGAACATGGCAAGCTCAACCCTTGCGGAGGAACTCTGCCGAAGCGCCATCCGCCGCTGCGAAGAACAATTAGGCACCGGCCGGAGTTTAACGGGTCTAAGTCTTTGCAGAAGATGTCGGATTGGCGCCAGGAGCTGCGCATCCGTCTTGCTTGTCTTTGGTGGCTCATCTCGCCCTGCTTCTCCAGGACTGCTGGGCCAGTGCTGCATTGACATGCTAGGAAATATTCTCGTATACCATATAAATGCACAAACACAAAACAATAGGTTTCCTTCTCATAGAATATACTATCATATCATTAGTATGGGTCCTTCAGGGTTTTGGTGACTTTCGGGCTGCGCGGGCTTTCCACGACTCCCGCCAGCCCAAGTTTCAAGACGTCTCCGATGGCAATGGCAATTGCCCTTCCCTATCACACGGGCCCTTCTAAAGCGTCAGTGCCTCCAATCCGCGGCGGGCTTTTACGGCCGATTTACTAGTATTGGGCTGCCTCGCTTCTCTCACTTTTCGGAATCTGAATCCCTACTCGTTTCAACCTGGCGCCAGATCCAAGAAAATTGGATGGAGGCCGAAGCGTTGCATCGGACGCCCGGCCAAGATACTTCCAACTCCATTGCAGCGCGTGTTGGGATTGTTCTGAACGCTGCTACTAGTGCTGCTGCTGCCACTACTACTACGACAACGACGACGACGACCAACGACTGCTACCACGACTACCAGCGCTGCTATGATGGCGGTGACGACTGCTACAACTGCTGCTTCTTCTGTAGCTGCTGCTGCTGCTCCTCCTACTCTTGCCACTATTGCCGCTGCTTCTGCTGCTACTGCTACTGCTGCGTTACTAGCAGTACTGCTTAGTAGTACCACCACTACCACTATACTAGCATTTCTACTGCTACCAGTACCATTACCACTGCCACTGCCGCTACCAACACCACTACCAGTACGACAACTCCCACAGCCATGACCACACTAGCAGCCAGCAGTAACACCAGCACAAGCACTTCCCTAGCACCGCGACTGCCACTACCACCAGTACCTCCATCACCATCCCATCCACGAGCGCAGTCACTGTCGCTAATTTTACTGTCATTACGAGGACGACGACGTCTGCTACTATGCTCTTCTTGCTGCTGCTGCTACTGTGGCAAATGCTGCCACTGGTGCTGCTGTTGGTGCTGCTAGTGCTGTTTCTGCGACAACGACAATCACTGCCCCGTGCTCAGGAACAAACCCAAGATCAATGGCAACCGCAGGACCACTAGTGATGGCAGATTCCGATGTGACGCACCACAACAGACCAAAATTGCTGTCAGGGACGACGACATGCACATGTCAAATCAAGGTTCTAAAGCATTACGTTCGCTTTTCTTGCAGGCTGTAGGATGACACATTACAATCGAAAGAATAGGAAACCTGAAGCCCAAACACAACTCAGAGCCACAGAAACCTCGAGCCCGCGAACTCCCACACGTCTTCTGAGCCTCGCAGGCCGAGAACCGCGAACCGTATCAGCCCAGAAGCCCAAGCCCGTAAAGCTTTGTCAGAAACCTTGACCTTTGACCCTAGGTTCGGGTTTAGGGTCTAGCTCTGTGAGGGCAGTTCGCAATTAAAGCCAGCTGAGGCAAGCACTGAGGGGTCGAGAGATGCCCGGCCAAAGACGAATAAGGGGGGTTACAATGCGTGGATGAGATTTTGTTTTCAACCTGTACACGACTTCATCAGATTTGTATGAGTTTGAATAGCCAATAATCAGACTGGGATTCTGGTGTTGGCAGGCAGAGGAGTTACAGGTTGGGACTTAGACTTCAAGTTTCAGGCCGAAAAGTGGTATGTTTGTTTATATATACATCTATACATATTATGTATGTATATATCGCTTAGAGTTTATGGGCTTCAGGAGTTGGCTGGAGGGCAAGTCAGAGCCTTTGAGGTTTCTACGGCTGCAGGGGTTTCAGGATGCAGGATGGGACATGCCGGCGGGTTGGTGCCGGCCTGTGGAGTGGTGATTCTATCCTGGCTCTTCCTAGGTAGGTTGTTTTCCGGTTTTTGGAGGGCTGTGGTCCCTGTGCTTATCAAGCCCATGTCGACCATCGAGACCGATTGCTCCCCAGGAAGGTACTTTACAGAATCCAAAGCCTGCTAGTCTGGAAAGTTGATGCACAAAACTTGCGCCGCCTTCTCCTAAACTCCTATGTAAACCCTAACACCCTAGAAACGTACACAAACCAGATAAATTCGAAAACCCTAAACCCCGTAAAACCTTCATCCTTGAAGAATCACCGAATCACATCCCCATAAGCCATAAATCCATCCGAGGAAGGTCTTGGGTCCTTCACACCTGGACACGCTGATTTCCTGCAGCTGCTTGGACATCCGAGTGCGAGCCCTCTTTGACCCCGAAAGAGTGTGTCAGTCTTGCAACAGAAGCACCCAACAAACTTCTTGGAACCGGGACACAGCGGGTGATAGTCTAAACATCGTGGATGTCAGGTATCATCAAAAGGCCAAATCAGCAGCGCAAACTCCGTACACACTTCATTTGGGATGAGCCGGGTTGTTGCCCAAAGAACTTTGCTACTGCAAGCAATCACGTCGTGGTGTTTTAGCACCGTCGGTTATGTGCGTCAACTCGATGCTGCAAGGCTTCATGACCTAATCGTCGAATGTAAAGCACGAGGTTGTGTGAGGGCTAGAGCCTGAGGGTGTTACATACTGTGGAGTCACTGTAGAGATTATTTGGAGCTCAGTGTTTCGAGGATTCTGAGTCGGTGTACCGAAAGCGAGGTCATAGACCCCGTCAGGCAAACGCTACTCAGACGACACGCCACGTCCTTAAGACAATCTAATCCTGCAGCTTTACATGCCGCTTTAAACTTACGAGCTATGCTTGAGGAGATGTGGCGACAACTCCATAGTTTATTACCCCAAACTGGGAGGCAAAACCCAAGACCAAAAGTCCACAACTCGGAACCCGGAAAGTTTCGCGCAGCTCCCTCAAAGTTTAAACCCTGAACCCTTGGCTCCTTTTGGAGACAGCCATCGAGGCAATCTGGGCTACGTCATCCAACTTCAGGGCAAGCTGCAGGAGGCCGGTAGTAGTAGTAATGAGGTTGATTGTGACCCTGATCATGATAGTGATAGCTGACAATAAGAAGAGTCATAGCAACAAGTTTACAACATCGTATCACTAATAATCTGAAGCAGCTGTCAGAGTAGTAGCAGGAATACTTATATCTTATAGCAGTACGTAAGTAGCACCGTAGTAGTATTACATATACTACCGCCAATAATTACAATAGTATCAAGAACAACGATTCTAATCGTGATAATGGCCAGAATCATACTGCAGAAGTCTCAGTTGCATAGTATACTTGTTAGTAGCCAGAGAAGACTCAGAAGCCAAGTTCAGTTATTCGCTAATCGTTGAGGCCGCTGTGGCAGCTGCTTACGGGCTTAACGGGCTCGGGGTTGATCGACAGAATGCAGGCTTAATCGCCATGAAAGCCGGGAGGTCTTGCCAAAGAAGCTGCTGAAACTTAAACCCTCGAGCCAAATGGGTCGTATCAGCACAACACCGTCCAAACCGCAAGTGAATCTCCCGAAGCCCAAATCTATATTACGTGTTCAAACACTTTGCAAATCAGCCGAACTCTCGTTCTAGTTCCTTCAAGAGACTGCAAGCCCAACGACCTTCTCAAATCTTTGCACTTCTTTTTGGAAATTGTCGAGTCCTCTGCAGGACAGAGCATCTTGATACTCCTAGAGGACTCTCTCATCGTATAGTGCCTCTGCTACCGAAGTATGTACTGCCATATTCGACTATATTCTCGTACATGGACGTGTAGCAACAGTGTCGAGGCCGAGAAGCTTCAGCGCCGCGCACTGCAAGGGATCGAGGAGAAGTCGCGGTGGAATTGAAGAAGCCATGGCTTTGGGTCCATTGAATTGTACCCTTGGGGTCAACATGTCTCACGGTTGGTTTAAGGTTTCGGGGTTCAGGGTTTATGGTTTGGAGTCTGGAGCGTGCAGTTTGCGCCCGTGCTGTGATCAGGGATCAGCCTTGCATCTTCCCCCAATTTGTTCACACACGCCTGTGCATACGGTAAGGTATGTTGACAATACCCGCCATTGAAACCATGAGTCGATTCTTCCGGGCTGTGTGCCTTGAGAGGACTGAAGGGACGCTGACACGAGGTCAAACGCTAAGAGTGTAGGATGGGCTTGGGGGCAGGGATGGTGCCGAGATTCGCGTCTAGGTGGGCGCTTGGGTAGATTAGGGTATACAGTGTCTGGGATTTGGAGGAGCAGTTGGATTATTCGCACGCGACAACATTGATGGCGGCGGCCTGGCTAAACTGGAAGGGTCCTTAATAATTAGAATAGGGTCTTGGGGCCCATTCTACTGTAATTGTTAATAAGGAACCCCCAACATGGAAAGTAATTATTTAGGCCTTTATGGTAATTCTGGACTTTGCCAGCCCTATGCCGGGATGCATAACCTTCGTCTTTTTGAGTTTCTATTTGTGGTCCATGTAGACAAGCTTGAACTTTCGTGGGCTTTGATCAGTATTGAGGACAGAGACAATGATTCACAATGGGCTTCCAGGTTGAGAGTTTCTAGGGGTAAGAGGAGTTACCCCTAATACCACAGGCCATTGCAATTTCAAAAACAATACCACCACTGTGCATACTGCGGTCCTTATCAATCGCTTCTACTCAAGAAGACTAGTGAGATGTCCCTACCAAATAGCAGCGAGCTTCGCCTAGACAGCTGCCGTAGACCATAATTGAATTGTAATTATCGCCGCAGGTGCACCACCTGGGCTGCTTGCTGCATGCCAATGGCAAACTGGCAGAGTCGGAGAAGTTCTTAAAACGCGCGCTTCGCGGCGACTCGCTCGGAACAATTTGGTGCCCGGCTGTATGTACATTCCGACAATCCCAATCTGGATACCCGAAACTTCAGGTTCCGTATCTATTGCAACAATGGCTCAGCGATTCCAATTGACAGATCTGCTTGAACCCTATAATTAGTTACATGTCATGCAGTCTCTCTCGCTGTCCCAACCAGGTTGCCTTTGCATTAGTGTCTTGATGAGTGTATGTAGGGCTCCTGTGGAATGCTTTGGTGCTGCCCGACTTTTTTTGACCGTTTCGTCCTTGTTTTTCTAGCTTGCCTCATGCCTGCAATCCACACGGCACGAACTAAAGTGTGACCGGTAGTTACCGGTAGCTCCAGAAGAATATGATGGTAACTCTGCACTTGCACTGCATTTAGCTTGTGGCAACCAAGTCCCATCCCCGAACTCTAATGCCGTTTCCAACCCCCGATACGACCTTGACATACCTTGACAGTTGAAAACACATCCATGTCGCGCGAAGCCCTCGAACCCCTTCGTCCCACAACCCTGCGTAGTCCAGGATCCCTAACCTGCAAATCTAATGCTAAGTGTGACATGAAGCTTTGTGCCCTCGGCATCCCAGTCCTAGCCCTTTAAGGCCAAGCAAAACCCTCGCACCCAAACACCCTATCCTGTGCCCTGAGTCGTTAGAAACCTTTGAATCAACCCCTTGAGATCCGTTAAACCCTCGCCGGCTAGCCCGTGAACCCAACCTGAAAAGATGGACACCAAAACCTGTGAAACAACCCATTATTAGTAGCCTTTGAGTTTGTTACATGTTGATCATCCTTCCTCTTAGTATTAATGGTGTCATTGCTATTATAATTAACATTATTTGCCCGAACACAGTACTTTTCAGAGGACGCGAGAAGCAGCTCGGGCCGGTGCACATCGACACGATGAGCACCGTGCAAGAGCTTGCTGCGCTGTTGCAGGCTTTTTGGGGGCTTAGAGTTTAGAGTGTGGTCTTTTTGGACTTTGGGTGCAAGTTTTGGACAGCATATGAGGGAGAGGGCTCTGTAGGGGTTGTAGCAGTGTTGGTAGGCTTTCTGCACCAGGGCTGCTTATCGGGACTTCTGCTTGCGGCCGGCCCATTGGTGTGGGACCATAGACTACTGTGCAAACCAAGAGCCCGCCCCGAATAGTTTCCCAACAACTTAACACCGCAATAACAGCAAGACTCCAAAGTAGAACTGATTGAAGACGCAAAATCCAAAGCGCAAAACCTCAAACCCCAAGCCTTCCAACTGTTCCGCCCGCACAGCCTGACTATTCCCCCCATGTAGGACACCTAACATGCTCTCTAATTCAAGATCAGATCCTGCAACACCTCAAGGCCCGGACCCGGAGTCGTGCATCAAGTTAGCGTCCAAACGCCGCAACTGGCAAGTGTCCAAACGAAAACCCATAATATCCTGAATTCCACCATCCATTCCATTGCTTTGACCTTGGCCCTGGTAAATATCTGGATTGCATGATCCGAAGCCTAAACCTGCTTGTCAGGCCCAGGGTCGAACTGGCGAGGCCGAGATGATGCAGCGGCGGGCTGCACAGGTACTCTGGCCCATGTAAGAAGCGACGCGCAGAGAGGGGAGGGGCGGGGGGAGGGGTGGAAGTGTTGCATTGAATTTCTGGTAGTCTTTTCGGGTGAGGGGGGGGGGACGCGTGTGGTAAGTATGGCGCTTCAGAGGGCTGAGGGCTTGGGTAAGACGGGTAGGGTGTTGAGTTTATTTCGATTCCTGGAGCCGCGGCACCGGATGAGAGTTGATCAGCAGGGCTTCGCGTGGGCTCACTCTTCGTGCGTGTCGTCACTCCTGTCGATCCTTCGCTTGCATGTGTGCGTGTGTGTGTGTGTCTCTGTGTGAATCACGGTTGTCAATCGTAGCCGTGATATGCAGAAACAGCAGAAAGTTGGCAATCACGATACTAGGAGCAATGGCAACAACTGTGCGTACATGCAAGTACTCCTTGGTGTATGCCAAGCACATACTTGCATTTGTGTTTCCCTGACCGCCTTCACAATACACTGTCTAGTGTATCTGTCTATCTGGGTTATCGATCTATCTGATTTGGCTGTCTTTATCGCTTTCTCGAAAGAGAGAAAGGAAAGAGAGAGAGAGAGCGAGGGAGAGACATGACAGAACATGAAACGACGTTGAGATTGGGCCGAAGCCAATACAACTTGAGAGCCTGGAAGCCTCGGATGTCCCAGCTATTTACACTAATAAGCGACCCTTGTCAAAGCCCAGTACCTGCCCACTGGCGTGGGGATTACAAAGGTTTCGGTTTCAGGCATTGCTCCAGGTGTAGCAAACATTCAATCGGGAATTCACGCTGAGAGGAACGGCAGAAGCACCTGGGCCCCTCTCATCCGCCCCTTGGCTGCCGATAGCCGGGGAGTCAGGTTTTCCGCCAAAGCTCAATCGTTGGACGGCTTTGAGTTTAGCTTTTTCTGGTCTCAAGGAGCTAAAAATCTTTTCAGCGAAAGTAGAACATCCCAAGCCGCGAAATTGTTGGAAAGTCGTACATCCGTAGCCCTCATTGATCAGTTCCTAAACATGGACGTTGAAGCCTTATGGGCTCCAGGTGAACACCGAGTTCAAAGTCAATTATGCACTCTTTCTTCTCTCTCGCTCTCTCTCTCGCTCTCTCTCTCTCTCTCTCTCTCTCTCTCTCTCGCTATCTCTCTTTCCAAACCTCATGCCAGAGCCCCAGACCCTCAGCCCGAAGCCCTGCACTCCGTTGAACCCTACCCCGATTTTGTCCCGTCACCCAGGGGGTGAAAAATGCAAGAGCGCCCTGAGAGGCACAGCCTCTCCTCTGCCTGGAAGCTCTCAGCGCTGCTGCGCTCCGACGAACTCAGAGTTTGCAGGGCTTTGGGCTTTCTCTGGGTTTTGGCCTAGACACTCGGGCCCCCCCCGAAGTGGTCCAGGATCACGAGTATAGCAGTAGTAGCTGAATTCGATGCATGACGAGGACGACGAAGAGGTTTGGGCGTGGTGTTCGTTTTGCTTCTGGCGACGAGGTTACTGTGGTGCTGGCCGAAGATGGTAGTTTCAGTCATCGTGCTTGTGATTGTCCATGCCTTGGGTTTGTGGTGGTTGCGGATGTTGCTGATATTGTCGATGCCTACCGTGAGTTGTGTGCCGAGTGCCAATGATGTGCAAGCCCATCCTGAGTGCTGAAGCTCGTATGTAGTGACCCGGAGCCTGCACTGGTCTTGACTTGGGGGCCTTTGGGGACCGGGGTGGGCGGAATCGCTTGGTCTTTCTCTGTAGCGACGCCCGCTCTCCCTGCTACATCATGTCAGTGTAGAGTTTGTGCGAAGCACCCTTATCCTGCCACGAGCAAGAGGGCGACGATCATGTGAAATGAGGATACTCGTCGGGAACATACCAGACTAGTCGTAGTTGCTGATACTGGTCATGTCGCGGTTTCTCCTGCTTCTGTTTTATTTTATGTAGTCTTTTTTGTTGTTGTTGTTGTTGATCTGAGTTCGCACAACAGCACCCCCCAAAAGGAGTCAAGTAGAACAGGACTCACATTGTGCCTTCATGCAGTGATCTCAAGCAGAGATGCTGCGGCAGATGAGCACTGTGAGCACTATTCCTTCCCTGAAGCCTCTGTGCTTTAGCCCTTAACCTACACAGGAAAGCCCAACACCGAGGAGAGACCAGAACAAGCTTGAAGAGGCTTTCGGCTGCATCGGCTCGTTGGCGAAGCTGCTGCAGGACGAGAGCGACACTTAGGGCTGGAACCTGCGCTGGATTCCCCAACAGAGGGGCCTGAATAATAACAAACCTTCCATAGGCTTCCATGCCGAGTATGTTTCTGTATGTATATATATATATATGACGTAAAAATATGTTTTTCCACAACTGTGCACGCGCTTACTGTGCACGCATATGTATCCATCCTTCCTTCCATCCGTCTGTTTTCAGTAGATATGTATGTATGTATGTGTGTATATACGTCTATACATACATATATATATATATATATATATATATATATATATGTGTGTGTGTGTGTAGAACAGTCTCCAGTTCAAACCCTTTGAGAGTTGCAAGTTACCCTAAGTCTGTAAAGCCTGGGAGAAGACCGAAACGCTGAAAGCGGTTCCTGACTCTCTATCCTCGGCATCCTGTTCCATGCTGCCCCGAATTATCGTATGGCTTTCAAGAGGCATAGAGGATGTCATAGAGGGCCTGTGACACTCGGAGGCTCAACAACTGAGAAACTATTTGGGTACTTCAAATCGAGCCCGAACTGTTAGTATCCAGAACCAGGGCATCCAAGAAAGGGAACCTCCCATGTTCAATATAACCCCCCGACCCCCCCCCCAATTAACACACTCTTTACGGCGGGAAACCCGCATAAGATGAGGCATAGCTGTGAAAACATTCACGAACCCATAAGTCCTGTAGCTCTGCGGGTTGTTTTGCCTTTGGCTCGGGATTAAAGTTTAGGATGTCATGGTTGAGGGTTTTGGGTTTTCCCCGGTTCATGGCCAATGTTTGCATGTTTGCGTGGCTCAAGGGGCCAGCGCCTCTGAGGGCCCAAGCATAAACCCCGAGACTGAGACTCAACAGGCCTAGACACTCTCAACCCCAAGCCCCAGACGGCAAACCCACAGTCCAAGACCACAACCCCAAAACGAGCCCCAAGCCCTACAACCAGACCAGCGAAGCGAAACCCTGCGCCCTACACCCTGAACTGTCATCCGACACCCTTGGCCCCAAAGCCTTGTGCAGCCCTTGCCTTACCAAGTCCGTAAGCTTTGAACATGCCTGCAAGCGATGAGATGAAACAGCGCAAAGAACTAAATCTCCCGTCCCTGTCCTAACGCCCCGAAATCTAAATTCCTAAAAGTCCTGAAGCTTTGGCCATGAGTGACCACCACTTTCACCTCTCCGCCGACCTTTGCAGACGGTTAGAGGCGAATCGTTACAGAGAGAAGTGGTCAGCAGTCAAGGCCTGCAGGGAACTGTGATTTCGTGATTTCTAGGAATGATGGACTTTGTTTTGGGAATCGTTTCCTCGATGATCGCACAAATCCGATTGCTAGGAGTTCCCTAGTGCGGCCGTAGGGTTTGAGTCTGATGCTTAGCGTTTTCGGTTTATAGTAACTTTAGTACGGTCGGGGTTTAAGTTTCCCTCGCTCGAGCTGCTAGGTTGGCAAAAGGGGTCATGTAGCCTGTGGGTATTGCTGAGAACTAGGGTGTCGATTTCGGGGGAGGATTCGTCTACTTATGGTCTGTGTCGCTGGCAGCCGTCCCTCTGAGCTATTTGACTGCTTCCTGGAACTCTCAAGTCGGGTCCGGATAACTGCGGAAATAGATGGGATGACCTTTGGGGCTCCGTGTCGTGAGCGGGTGGGTTGTTGGTTTCAGGGTTGCGGGTTTCAGGTTTCAGGTTCGAGGATCCTTCAATCCTAGAGCCTTGCCCTAGCCGCTCCAGATTTATGACCCATGCAGGCCCCCAAGCGCCCCCGCCCGCATAGCCGAAACCCCTAAACGGCGTAACGCTCTGCTGCTGTACTAGTCTGGAAGGGCATCGCGGAAGCCAACGACCTGATCCACCAGCGCGGAGGCTTCGGGGAGCCCTGGCAACCCGTCCCGCCGGTGGTCGCCGAGGCCTATTCAAAACGCCGAGTGTTCTCAATAGAGGACGCCGACTTAGACTGGGATGACGAGAGCCTTGAGTTTCTACGACACTGGTTCGTCCTGTAGGTGGATCAGGGTTTACAATTTCAGGGCTGATGTTGCTTAGACCTGTTGCTAACGCCGGTTTGTTGAAGTCATTGTCCCTTTTCGAATTTCCCCCCCAGATCCTGGCACATTCCGATGTCGCGTTATATCTCCTCATCATATTTTGCTGGATTGTTCAGGTTCGAGTTGCTCAACGCATAGCACCGGTTGGCTTCGGTATGGATTTGCAGCTGACGGGGCCAGCAGCTGATGTAACTCATTATGATCGGTTTATGCAAGACTCTGCAAGACATCGTGTTTTCTGGGCGGGCATTCGTGCCTTTGGGGCTTATGTACGGTGTGGTGTAGTGTAGTGTTTTGCAGATATTGCAGGGTCTTTAGGCGCTGAGCATTGAGTTTCGGCTTTTCAATATTTGTTGCCGAGAGTGCCAGACACTTGCCTTGAAAGCGGCCATCAAGCCCTCGAGATCGACACAGCAGCCAATCGACTTTTAGATGCCCCGGTGAACGACACCAGATAGCTCCAGCCAAAACAAAAGATGCACATCTTGGGCTTTAATTTAAACATCTTTAAGCTTTCAATGGTGTTCACGGAATCAAGACCGGGGTGCAACAAGAAGTGTCAACAAGGAATACCGATGCTGTGTCCATGAAGACACGCAAGGCCTGGTCGTTCCTGGAGCCCGGGCCCTCAGCCGAGTCAGAGCGCAGCTCCCTGCCACGCTTCGCACGAACCGAGGCCCAAGTCATGTGTTCTTCGGGGTGGGTGGTGGGTGGGCTGTGGTAGGCGGCTTTGTGGCTGTCTTTCTTGTTTTTGCTTTCTTCTTTGGCTCGGGGGTCGGTGGGGGCGACCTGAGAGGTTCTTGGTTCTAGTAGGGACTATGCGTATTTGTCACGGTTTACGAGCATCCTCAAATTCTGCAACACCTTGCGCACCCTGACATCCGAACAAGAATACGGCAAGGACATGCCCCGAAATGTGTTTAGAGTGCCCGAAAATTCCTTGCAGAGCCTGCTGCAGTAAATCAGAAATCTTGGAAGTCTTCAAGTCTGCACACGAAAGGTTTGCTGTGCCAACGTCGACACGCTGACAGCAGCACTGGTACTCGGACCCCTGGCATTCGTGAAGTGAACGGGCTTAGGGATGTGTCAGAGCTTTCCGAGCTTTGCGTCACGTGCTCTGGAGTGTACGCTTTAGCAGCATGTCCGATTTCAGTTTAGACTCCGGGACCTTTGATCATAAAGGTTTGACCCGTGACACCGCGAAAGCTCGAAGCGAAGCCCTATATCTTCAACCGTAGACACAAGCCCTGTAGAGAAGTCCCAAATGCAAGTCACCTACGCTTGTAGGTATTCAGGGATGTAGGTTCCCTGGAGCGCAAAAGACCCGATTCACGGGCCCTGTAAACACTAAACTAAACTCTAAATCCCACACCCGAGGCCCCTATATCCGAAACAGAGGAGATGCATGTGCTCTCAGCTTCGCCAATGCCGACATCCCGGGTGGGCGCTACCGCAGCGGCGGATTGGCACAGGATCCAAGTTGCCTGGATCCTAAGCCCCGGGAAACTTAGGGCTTTGAAGGCTTTTTGGGGGTTTCATTAGGGCTCATAGTAGTGTGTTTACATGGTGTAAACATGGCTTACATACCCGAAACCTGGAATATCGTGCTTAGAACCTCATGCAAAAGAGCTCATGGACCTTGGCAAACACAAGACGAGAGCGTATTCCTGATGTATTGCTCGTTGAAGAGGTCCCTGATAGCCGAGATCTTTAGCAGGCCACTGAGTGTCCACCACTCTTTCCGAGCTGCAACTTTTCAGGTATCAGGATCGAAATTCTAGGTTTGGGCACTCCCACTGAAACTCTGAACCCCGAAGCCCCGGATCCGATAAGCCCTGGATCCGATAAGTTCTTCCAGAGCTTCATCTCTGCTTCAGGCTGCTTAGCCGGAGGGAAACATAGGAGTTCCACGCTTCAAGAGCAGTGTACCTCTTTTCCAACCTTACGGCCTCAATCTGACTGGGTCCTAGAAGGAAGTCGCAAGCTCGAACAGACCCTGAATTTGAAGACCTAGGCTACAACATGGTTAGTTTAAACTAGGTAACTGGGTGTTATACTCAGGTAGCAACTAGGCTTCTTCTGGTTACAGGTGATATGCCATTTTGGGTACCCCAACGCGGACCCTAATGTTGAGAGCCCCGATTCGGCAAAAAACAGGAGGAAGATCTCTGCCGCTTGCTGCCGCAGCTCTACCCGGCCCTCAAAGCAATGCCATATCCGATCCTGGAGCTGATATTATGTGCCCCCCCTCTTACTCATACTTCTCCAGGCTAGATGTGCGCATTTCTCAGGATTGGGCTTTTGGGAGAAAGTTTGTCTGACACCTGCCGTGTCTTTCTGCATGCTTGAATGTTCGAGGCACGGTCGCAGATGTTCTGGTTTACATCTCTCAATTTCTATAGCAAGTCATGCTGCCCCACCCCACCTACCGACTCAGCCAACCTGTAACGCAGAATGCACCCGAGAGAACCCAGTCCGAGGAGTTTATCCCCAAGCCCTAAACCCCGAAAACCTGCACTTCCTTGAGCACCGCCAGCTTCAGGATCCCTCCCGGAACGGTACTGGTAGCTCGAGACCTTCTGGCGCTGAGGAAGCCTGGCACCTACGCGCCCTGCCCCAGTTTTCTGGCTCTGTTTTGGGACGCGGCTGTATGTTTTTCCATCCTAGTAGGCTTACAATATCCCTTTTTCATGTCACGACATCTCTGTAGAAGCTTGGGTACAGAAAAGCAAGTGGCGCATGCTGTCCAAAGCCCTGAGTGAGGCCCCAAACTCAGTCTCCCGTGAAGACAACCTTCCTAGAAAGTGTTTACAGCGTTGCATCCAGGTCTTGGCTCTGTTACCGTGCTGTGCCTGAGAGGCTTTTGAGCACGATTTTCGTGTTTTTCTGTACATAGTGTGAAGGTTTGTCCAAGCGTTTGGAACATGAAGCTAGAAGTTTACAGACGCTCGCATTATCAGCCCACACTTTCAGCCGTGCAAGCTGAAGCAGGGCCCTTTGCCTTAACGCAACCTTCGAGGCCACATAGTGACATAGAAACAGGACCCCTATGGTTCTGAACGACACGCCAGTTCGCTTTTTTATTTCATACATATATTCATTGCCAGGCCACTCAGCCCACACGCCCCTCAAGCACCTCTTTCCCGAAATGTATCCTGAAGCAGCAACCCTAACCCAAAGCCACACGAACGACTGCCCTTCCAGAACTGCTGCAATGCCCTGCGGCGCTGCCGATCGGCGACCGAAGGCGCCAGTTAGGAGCCGGATCCTCCCCCGACAGATCCGTGCATGAACAGAATAGGATTTACCCCTCCCAAAACAATCGAGTTCTCTCTCTCTCTCTCGTTTGTCTGCTTGTTTGTCTTTCTGAATGTCTGTCTGTCTGCCTGTTTGTTTGTCTGTCTGCATGTGTATCTGTAGATCTGTCTGTCCATCTATATGTCTGTCGATCTATCTATCTGTCGAGGTCGAAAGCCTTTACAATGCTTGCAAGGATCCTTTGAAAATCGCAGACTAGCACGCCCCACAAAGATCTGAAAAGCGCATTCCTACCCAGGAGACAGAAAGCTTAGATGGACCATAGGCTCCGTCTCCCCTCAAACCGGTAGTCCTCACGCAAAGCTCGCCCAACTCTATACGGCCTGCTTCCTGAATGCCCGTTGGTAGGGCGGCTGGGCCAAGTCACCATGGGCTGCGGACGTGTCGCTGCGTATCCGCTCGGTGCTCCATGCTGCCAAGCAGCTGCTGGGCTAATGCCTACAGGGTCGTATTGAGGCAGGCATTAGACTTCAGATTTGGGGATTCGGCGATTGCAAGGGTTTGGGCTAGTGCGGGTCTGGCTTGCTGCGGCAGGGATTGGGATTCTAGAATCTAGAACTTCTACACAAATATAGTCTTGTCTCTTTGGACTAGGCGGGTGAATTTGTCTGACAGTGGATTAATTAAAGCGGCGCGGCAGGAGTCTTTGAACAGGTGAGAGTCTCAGAGTTGGAATGCAGATGATGGAGCCTGGAAGTGCGCGCCGGGACAGGATGATCAGGTCGAAAGAGTCTGCATTCGGCCGTGCTATCGCACTTTGTCGTCTGACAAACCCAACGGTAAAGCCAAAGCCTTAGACCTAAGCATAGGCCCAGGCCCGACCACACCCCCAAAGCCCAAAAACGCTTTAAGGCCCTATGAGCATACACTGCTACATTCAAACTGATACTACACCATATAAACACCCTCCGTCTCAGGTCTGGTCATGCCAACCTCGTCCTGGGAGCCTTCGGTTGTGGCGCCTTCGGTAACCCTGCACGGCCCACGGCGACGATCTTTCGCGAAGAGCTCGCGTCCCCGGAGTTTCGGGGAGCCTTCGGCCAGGTGGGGATTTCTGAAAGACTTGGGTGCAGGTCTGGACGGCGGCCCTGATGAATTTCCTGTACTTCTCAGGTGGTCTTTGCCATCATCGACCCGATAGGCACCGGAAACTTGAAGCCATTTCGTGAGGAGATCGCCCAGATTGCTGAACGCCACACCCTCAGTCGGCCGCCTCTTGGCGAAGATTCGGAGAGCCATACTCTCTCAGAGATGCGGCCTGCCGACGCTTTCAGGGACGCTGCAGAAGGCGCAGAAGCTGGGACCGAGCTGACTGAAGCTGCCGCGGTCGGCATTCCCGGTGAGGGGAGCGACCTGAGCGTGTCGGACAAAAAGGGCGGCCTCAGCTTTTCCAACGTCAGCAGATCGTCAAACATGAAGCTGCCAGTTTCGGGGGGATCTTCTTACCCAATAGTCAATAAGAGGGTGATTCGGATCTGCTGAAACTATCACTATAGCGTCATCCGTATCAGCTCAAGGCCGCGTTAAGAGCCTCCCTCTACAGAGGCTGGCAAGTGCTTACATGAGATTCTTGCCATGCTGCTTGTTGGAGAGGTTGAAAGGGGTTTGGACATCGTGATGATGCTTTGGATATGCGTGCTGCAGACGAATCGCTCAAAACCCTTCTCTTTCCCAGGAGGAGGGACACTTGGCTACTGCTGAGCGACTTCTTCGCCGTGACCAGTCCGAGGCGGCTTCCTTGTTCGTATTTTGGCCTGGAAGCTTGGGGTTCGGTGTTCAAGATCGTCGACATCTAGCAGCAACAGCAGCGTAACAAACACCATCATGATAGTCATCCCCTTCCGGATGGTCATCCTCATCATCTGTACACTGGGAAACACCTTCTTCTTCTCCTCAGTGCAATGATCACCCATCCCCAACTGAGATCACAGTTTCGCAGAGGCGACTTCTGGGCATATTTGTCGGAGGCTGTGCCTGCATGACAGGAAGCCACCAAGCCTGAACAGCGTCGGCCCACACCTGCGAGCAGCCTTGCGCATCTGAGCACTCCGCAATAGACATTGAAGGGACTCACACCCCGGGCCAAGGATCCAAGTCTACAAGTGATGCCTCCTTTGAGATCTACAGTCATTGTCAATGACGGCCCCCTACTTCGGAGAGTTCAACCGAGTGATTCAATATCGGAAAGTGAATTCTTCCAGCTCAGCCTGTCGCTACGGTGCGAGACTCCCATCTTAGTTGTAGTATAGCTAAGTTAGGAGTGGCGATCCGCTTGCGAGGCTTCTCAGAAATTGGGCGGCATGCATCCTGCCGTGATGCTCCTGCATTGCAAAGATGGATTAGTTTGATGGAAGCTTCTTCATTATTCCATCCTTGTTCATCGTTTTCAGCATGAGCAGCATCGCCATCTGAGGAGGCGACAGGCAAATTTCCCCAAACGCCAAAGACCATGACAAGCTTGGAAGCCCCAGAGTTCGGAGTCTAGTTCAGCGTGTCAGGACTTCGCAGTCCCAACTCGTCTCCATACAGCCCCGCAAAGGTCTTCCGTTTGGGTATCCAGTGTTCGCATGGCATTGCAAAGGCAGTGAGCCATCATATTCTTGGAGGTTTGGGTCAAAGTACTCGACGGGTCCCAATTTCAGAGTCGTGTCGGAAGGGCAGCATTCAGCTCATAAAACGCAAAAGCAAGCTCAGAGCTTCGCGGATTTGGCGCCACATGGTTTGGATTTGCGGCTTCAGTACGGTCTGTGGTCGCGGCGCCTTGTCACAAGTCTCAGTCCCCAACACACCCAGTACGCAATCCCATCCAATGAAACCGAAGCCCCAAAGAGACGAGCTCTTGGAAAATCTTCTTGAGCTCCGAAGCCGAAGCCCAACGCCACTCAAAGTAGAACTGCAGAATCCCTCACCCCGTTCGCCACAGAGGTCCTCGTCGATGCAGCTTGCAGAGATTCTCTGTGCTCAGGGAAGATCCTTAACTGATTTCGGGTTTTTCGGGTTTGGGGTCTATGGCCCAGGGTGCCAGTTTGTGCAGTGTGCAGGGATTTCCCATTGCACCCCAGCGCCACCGCGCAGAACGGCAGTTTGGGCTCTGAGTTTTCTAATTTGCGAGCTGGCAAGCAGTTGGACTCCAAGCTCATCAGTGGCAGCAGTAGATGTTCTACACCATTCGACTCTGAAAGACCTTGGTGTGACGTTCAATCCCGGCATGTCTGGTGCAAGGGATCTCAATCGCGGGGAGCAGCGGGAGGCTTGTTGGGTATGATCCCAGCTCACCTATCCTGAAGCGAGCCTTTCCGAATGTACTTGCCAGGGCCTTTCGGAACAGTCATTCTCCTACAGACAGATGCCCAGCTATGACCTTTATCGTCGTCGCATCGCGCTTGTGGAAGTAGCAGCCCACGGTGCCCGTCGCAAAGTACCAAGTCCAACAGATGAGTTACACAGACCTAGGGACCTAGATTGGAGTTCTTCCGGACATGTTGAATCAAGAAGCAAAGCAAACTCTAAACCCTATGTTGCACAAGAGCATTGTCGGTCTTCTCCGAGACAAGGACCGGAGGATGCGAGGGAGCTGTTCAAACAGGTTCTCAGTGGCCATTTGGTCGGCAAACCATACTCGGAGGCCATAATTATAGTTCTTTGTAGTGGGCATTCAAGCAGATACAGTTTGTGGGTAGACGCTAAAATCTCGGGTGCATCTCCAAGTTCCACAGCCTCTACAAGGCTGCCCGGATCACATGTACAGGTGACCTATGTCCCATATACCTCAGTGCTATAAGGGAAACCGATACTTTGGAGGTCTTGGTAAGTCTTCATGATCAAGCAGGGCTTGCGGCGAATGACGCAATGGTGTGCAGTGTTGTGTGAAGGTAGTTTGTCGAAAATAAGATGTACTCCCCAAGCCCGCAAAGCTGCTGACCCTCGTTTTACTTGCACTCGGCACTTCTTGGAGCTTGGCGTCAAGGCAGCTTCTATGCGGGAGGTCTCATTATCAACACGTTAGATTTTGGATGCTGGCTTCAGGGCCATACCTAGGTTTAAAGGCTTGGTGTTTGGACACCAGTTTGAATAGTGTGGTCAGGTTGCTAGGTTTCAGGTGTAGGGCCTCAGGGTTTCGAACATTTTGTTGTAGCGTTAGGACTATCTGAGTCCATGTTTGACTGATTTCGGGAGATTCAGCGCTTGCGACATGTCAGCTATCTTCAGGACTATCTGAGTCCATGTTTGGTTGATTTCGGGAGAACCAGCGCTTGCGACATGTCAGCTATCTTTGCGAAACTGGCAAAAGCACGACTGCCTACATGAACAGTTGTTGATCATGAGCTCCGGTCAAGATCCGAGACAATGTAGGCCTTTGATGGAACTGCCCCTTCGCTTCTGGAGTAGAATATTCGGGGCTCGTGTACACTGCTGCACAAGGCTGGTCTTCGGAAGCCATTTCCGAATCTCCCTGACAAGGAGCCGAAGATACGATGTCCCGAACGCAGCAGATTGAACCCCTCGCCCCAAAACGTGCAATCCCAAAGCCCCCATATCATATGTAAGTCTTATACCTGCCTAATCCCTTTCTGTATGTATATATATATATATATATATATATAATATATATATATATATGTATGTATGTATGTATGTACGTATGTACATATGTATGTGAAGTGTATTGACTCTCCGAGGCCGTGAAGTTCACCTGGGCCCGACCCACCCGGACACTCTGGCGACGGTCACCCGCCTTGGGACTCTCCTCGTCGACCAGGTGCCTTATGCGCTGAAAGTCCCCGTGTCAAGACTTGCAGCTCAAAGGGTCTTGGAAAGACGGCGCAGGGTTGTGCAGAGATTTGAGATGCTTTTTCTCCGCGCAAGCGTTTGGTGGCGTATAGTCTGGCAATTACGGGTTCCTTGACAAGCCTTCCGAAGCCTCACGCAAAAAGGACTTCCGTGGTTACGGTACCAACCTAATCAAGAAGCCGCTGGTTCTTGATAGACTTCTTAGTCTCATAATCTGGATCTCCGCCTGTTGAACCCTAAACTCTCAAGCCCTGAAGACCCGAACCCTTTAGCCCGAACACCTTTGTAAACCCTAGGCCCTATAGACCTCTAAACCCCGACGTCTCGGCCGGAAGGTGGAGCTTCCAGAAGCTGAAGCTCTGCTGAAGCGCGCGCTCGAAGGCAGTTGACGGGAAGTTCACGGTTGGGTGGTTACGGGTTGACGAATTCTGGGTTTACGGTAGGATTTTAGCATTTGGTTTTACTCTCCGAGAGCCAAGGTTCAGGATGACGGTCTCTTTGCATATTTAGGTTTGCGGGGCCAAGGCACCTATAGGCTAGCTTTTCTCCATCTTAACCGTGCAGTGAGTGAGCTGTATGCCCTTCGTTTGAGCAGACTGTGTGCGCGATAGAGGGTGGGGCCAACGTTTGCTACACTGGCACAGAGCTTCCTTATTACCATTCCGCTGAACATGAGAGGCAGGTTGCCTGTCTGTTTTTACCAGTATCGGCTGGGAGTTGAACGGCGATCCACATGTGGCGATTTTGTATATTTAAGACAAGCAGCTGCTGTGCTGTTGTTTTGCCGGCCCTTCGAAAAGCAGATGTTCCTTTCCTTTGGGTGAGCATGCAACTGGAGACACACGGTCATACTGCGAGCACCACTTCGCCAAGAAGTGCCAGCCAGGCTACAAAATCCAAGAACCACCGGACCCTGCATCCTGGCGGGAAGTCGCCGCACGCATCGTCGCTCTTCTGCCGCTCGGTAGGCAGCATCGCTTTGGTTGGTCTCTGATCTGCACATGCAGTCGGACTCGCGCTGTGGGGTTCATGGTTCATATAGTTAGGGTATGAGGTTTGGGGCGCTTGAGCTTTTGGGGGGTGGCGTCGGTCTTCGGTTTCTTGATTGGTTTCTGCACATTTGTGGCGTTGGAGTATTGTTGTGGGTTCAGGTGTCAGTGCTGTTAGCATTAGTATTTGTAGCTAGCATAGCAGTCTGAGTGAGTGAGTGAGTGAGTGAGCTGGGCATTGCAAAATCGTTGCTAATTACAGGATTCCAGCTGTTACTTATCCCAAGGACATGTGCCCTTGATTGACAATCTAATCTACGTAACCACGCAGGACTTGCCAACTTAGGTCTCAAATTCCAAGCCTCAGTCCAAGAGCCTCAAGACCTGGAGCTCATCTTTAGCGGGCTGTAGATTCGCAAGATTCAGCCAGCTGCACCCCGAGGAAGGCCAATGCGAAGTATGTGGACGCCGAGGACAGAGGGGTGCAGCTTTGAGAGCTCTCGTCTCCTATTGGTAAATTGCCTCGTGCTGGCTCTGTCAAACTCTATAGGCCCGAATGCCGAAACCCCAAACCTCAGACCCCCAGATGCAAGAACAAGCAGAAGCTCTGCATGGTCAGCGTGGAGGGATCGGTCTCCTGAGTTTCAGCTCCGCGGTTATTCTTTGGAGGCTCGGCAGATACACAGCTGCGGCCAGTCTTTCGTGGTGTCTTGTGTTTCGATTTCAAGGAGCACTCCCGGCAAGTACAGAGAAAGAGATGGCTGAATTCAAAACCCGGCAGACGATGCTTAGAAGATTGTGGGAGTCTACAACCCTCTCCGGTTCAGGAGTTCATTGCGTAGTGGTGGAAGCTTTAATGCCGAGCCACAAAGATTAGGTTTAGGGTTTTAGGGTGTAGTGGTTTAGGTTTTGGAGATACCCAGACTCTGGCAGGAGCTGTGCAGAAAAGTTCTCGAAAGCAAGGAGAAGGCCACGACTTGTGTTTTTTTGATGCTCCGGTGTCTTATCACATATTGTGCACTTCGGGTTCTATAAGGTCCAAGACTCCAGCCCTAGGTATGGGATTCCAAACTATATGTCCTATGTCCCATACAAGTATCTTCAAACCCCCCCTAACCTTGATCCGAGAACTTACACTCCAACCATCAACAGCGTTTCATGGTGAGGATTTCGGCAGCTTTAGCGCTGCCTTACGATGTGTGCTTCGGGTGTAACTCATGGACGGCAAGGTGCCTTCAGTAAGTTTGTTAGTGAGGCTTGCGGGCTGCGCGGTTCAGTCCTGCCTGACACCTGCAACACTCGCTGGAGCCCCCAGGCGCAGAACCAACACTTTCGGTGCTGTAGTTCCGCACCCCCCCGCAAGCTTACAGGATCTGGGCAAAGGACGACTGGAGACTCTTCGCATCTTGGCTGTGTCCTTCATCGCTTTCAGCTAAATCTCGGGAAGTTCACTTGGGATTCAGGGCATCGGCTTTATGTTTGGGCTGTCAGGTGGGGGTTCGCGTTCATCGTTTCGAGATGGATGAAGGTTCCAGTTCACAAGCTTCTGCAAAGACAGTATAGGAATTATGAAGACAAGGTAACCATCGACCTGCATGTTTTGGATTGCCAGGTGAAAAATAGTCTGCCGGGATTCAGGTGAATGTTGACTTTGGGCTTTATTTCAGGGTGCCGATTTGGCTCGGACTCTCCACACCATCCTGAATTAGATGGACTGCAGACATGAGAAAGCATAAACTGAGCCAGATGTGTTTTCCAACATGAAACGACCTAGAATCGCGGGACGAGGGTCGGCGCACTGGTGTCATGTGGGACCCTTGGAGACAACTCTAAACGCGATTTTCCGGTGACACGAGAACTCGCGGTCGTCCCACATATCGATAGTCAGCATCATGTGAACAAAGCCGTACATGGAACTTGTCTCTTGTCTCTTGTCTCTAGAGAACTTGCCACTACCAGCAGTGAAGGCACTGCAAATCCTAATTCCCTTATACTCTGAGCCTTAAATCGTCGTAACGCCTGCAATCACCAAGCATAAACGTGAATGACCCAGCCCAAAGCCCTAAACGACTCCTGCTTTCAGGAACCGTTGAGGAGTTGGCTGGCATCCTTCGCTTACAAGGTCGTCTTCCAGAGGCCTCAAAGCAAGCATAGGGCTAACCCCACACCTCACATCCTATACCCCCCCCTTCGCTTTCACACCATTTCTTGGGTTGCTGCTTCCGGAAAAGGTGTCGAAGACCTCTGCTGCCAGCAATCCTTTAGCCGCACTGGCCCTCCACCCCGGCCTCTCTTTGTTCATACATGCCTCGAAGAGCAATTCTCTCTATCGGGATTGCAAGTATCTACATACAGAGTACCTCCAACACACTTACCCATGCAGCTTCAACAAGCCGGTAGAAGCCCTAATAAGCCCTAATTCAAAAGGTGCTGACGCCCAGACCCAACGACTCAAATTGGTCCGTCCTTCTGCAGCAGGCGGAACAACTCAGCCGCAGGTGTCTGCAAGGCATGGGCAGTTTTGCGCTCACAGTTGAGAGGTATCTATACAGACTAGGGAGGTTGTTATGGCCTAGCATTCCGGTTCAGGCTTGCGAAATTCGGGCTGCATGTTGTTTAGGCTGAAAACCTGCACTGGGTTTGGGAATGCAAGCGAAGCATTCACGAGCGTGATTTCATCTGCACCGCTTGAGGATGCGGGGTAGTGATAAGCTTTGACATGTCATTCGCACGAAGTGAGCCCTGGGAACCCCGTATGGAGCCGGGCCATCGAGAGGATCGATGATGTTATTGTTCGATTCGCAGTTCTGGAGCTCCTTTTCGGCTTCAATCCTGGAGCCTGATGTCCCTCCAATCCACCGGTACGCAGAAGAACCCGAAGCCTGAAGCCCCGAAACTCTTAAACCCAAGAGCTCCTTCAGCCCCAAGCCACAACCGAAGCCAAAGCCCAACACTTCTTCAAAAGCCCCAAGCTAAAGCCTAATCCTAAACCCCAACACTAACACTTCTTCAGGCTGTGAGCAGCTCGGAGCCCTTGATGCGGAGACCACGGAGAGAGTCACGCAGCTGGGCTTGCTGCTTCAGGAGCGACGACGGTACTTCGTGGAATCTTACGGCTTGGATTTTATAGAGTTACAGTTTAGGGTTTAGAGCTGTGCTGCTAGGCTGTTGCAGAAGACGACTCGTATAGTTCGTAGCATAGTAGTATAATGTACTGCTGTCTGTTACTATTCGCAAAGTCTCTTCCTGATGAGGGAACCAGAAGTCTTGAGTCTTAAAAATAGAGAACAGCTCAGACTTGAGGTTGGGGGAGGCTTGGTTTCAGGGGGTTGCGATTTGCGATCCCTTCGGATTGTTAGACTTGGGATTTCCGGGTTAAGGGTTTAGGACCTGCGTGTACTTCGGGATTTCAGGATATGGGATATGGGATTGGGTCTGCTTGTTGATTGACTGTCAGACGTAATGCTTGCATTCTGATGTGCTTGTGGCTGCAAGTGAGCCTTCTTTTTCATGATGGGCATCCACGGCCCACCAAGTCTTCGGACGCAGTGTAAGAAACTTGCAATAACGTTAGAGTTTTAACTAGCATCCCGTCGGAGTCAAGCAAGAACTCTAAATTTCCAAGGGTGCCTGCTCAGACAGTCTCAAGCAAGCTGCAGGTTCAGACATACGTCCACAGACCAGCAACCGTCTGCCCGATCAATCCCAAAATCAAAATCCTGGTCCAAAACGGAAAAAGCAGCAAATCCTTGTTGCCTATGTGGCCGCAGTAGTATGTAGAATCGTTTGATGATATCCTACCATGACGGAAGGTACGGTAGCCTCCTAGGCCCAACGGACTGACAGGAAGTGCTAGCGCCCTCGTGATCATTTGAGCTCGCTTCCACTGCAAATGAATTGTTGCGGAAATAGTCGTGAACCCAGGTGTATGTAGGCTTCAAAACTCGTTTGCGTCAACGACGGGTTGAAGTCAGTGTTGCAAGATTTCATTTTTTTGGGGGTTGTGCACGGCAAAGGCCCGTGCATGAGAAATGCGGATGGCATTTCAGTTCTTGCTCAAGCTCTCAAGCAGTTCAACACCTGCAATCGTTATGCTGTTATGCCAAACCTATGTGTATTCTATAACCCGGCACATTGGACAGCAGCATAGCTCTAGATCCTGGGGGCTGCAGCTACTGTCCGTGCCCATAAGCGCGAGAATCAGAACCATCGTAGTTCCCTCAGGGTTCCGCTGGCTGTCGTCGCAATGCCCCAGCCCCAAGTCTAAGGCATGTGTTGTAGACACGCATTCTGGTGACTGATATAGGCCCGTTGTCAGAGGAGCAGGGGCAACTGGAAGAGGCCGAGGAACTGCAACGGCGCGCTCTCAAGGACCGTGATCCGGATTCATTACTGCTTGGGCTTCGTGATTTGGAGGGTTTGCTACTTACCGCTATCTCTTGTCGAAGCACGCATTTTTCATAGTTCGGACTCCGTGAGTTCAGCCCTTGGTATAGGTAACGGCTCTAGCTGTAATGACACTCAGGCATGCGACTGCAGGCCCGCCAAAGTTGTTCGGAGAACTTGTGGCAGTCAACAAGGGGGTAATCAGGATAAGGGTCTGTATTTTGATTGAGATTATCTGTCAGCCCATGTCCCATACCAGCAGCCCTCCCACCCCTCGTCCCCACACTCCAAAAGCACAGCGAGTAGATCCTGAAAGACCTCAGCTCAATCCTGAAGATGCGGCTGCGTAAACTTTCGAGCCGCAGACAGGCAGACTTGCGAGCTTGTTGGATTTTTGTCCAAGGTGTCCGGGCTTTTCTGGGATTGAAGCAGTTGCAGTAGACGTCCCCTATCTCTGTGATGCCTTGCTTGAGCTAGTGGTGCTTTTTTGTGGGTGTCTTCCTAGCCCCGAAACTGCCGATGCTTCTTGCTGTCGTCGGCTGCAGATGGATAAACAGACTCCTGTGGGGTGTGAATTTCCGACATCTCCTTCCTTATTCCTGCTATATGAGTGTACATACCAGATCTAGCAGTTCAAAATTACAAGACAGAGTAGAACCATGTGGTCAGACCCATAAAATCCTAATGCTTATTTATAAATCCGACACTCATGGACAGCAAGCCGCGGTTTTAGAAACCCATCTTCGGTCTAAGCCTCAAGCAAGAAAGAAGCCTGAGGGACCACCATCAAAACCATCCTTGGAACTACATGGGATTTTGACTCTTTTTGTTTCAGTGTTTTTGCTGTACAGCTGCGAAATCCTTAAAAGTCCATAGTTTTCCGAATGCAAGTCCTCCAGCCAGGATCTAGATTCCCGATTTTTTCTGTGCAAGGCGGGTGTCCCCGGCAACACAACCCCAGGCTCTGAGGCTCTGAAGCTCCATTAGCCGTAGGAACCCCCGGGGTCAAGAGCTCTAAGCCAGTCGCGAACGGGAGGAGCGGCAGAAGCAGCTCTGTGAGTCGCATCCTTTGACTTTGGTCTGTTGCAGCCGCCCCTTCGGCCGAAAGGAGTTGCAGTGAGATGCTTTGAGGGTTTAGGAGCTTGTGGTGTCGGGGTTCACGGTTGGAGGGTTGAAGGCTTCTCGATTGCTTCTCACACTACCTATAAGCTATCCTATGTCGCACTGATTGGTATAAGAAGAAACCTTGAAAATCCTCCCAAAACCTTAAGCAGACGACCCACAGCAGAAGCCAAAGCGGCTTTCGCAACGACTGAGGTCTTGCATCCGTTCTCCAAGCTCAGGCCAAGTTGGCCGAGGCTTCCCCGACAGCAAACTGGTTAGGGCATGGGCACATTGCAAAATGTGGCCAGGTTCTTGGGGTTCAGGAAATAGCAGGAAACTATATAACTATCATTCCATAAGGATCAGAATGACACCGTTCGTCGCGTGGAGAGTTGTTGCTTACGTTCCGGTAAGGTTTGGGGCTTGGCAGTCTTGTTGTTTAGGGGTTTAGTAGGGTTCAGAGCTTGTTTGCTTGAGCGAAAGAGTGGCGGTTTTCAGGACTTCCAAAACGCCTTCGGATCAGAGCTAACCCTACACGTCAACTCAATAACTCTGAGCCATTCCTGCGGTTGCCATGCATAGGGCCGAAGATCTGGGTCTATAGGGGCTTTTTGGGCCTTGGTCTCGGGGTTTCGACTGTCGGGCTTTTGGGTGTGGGGGCCGTGGGGCTTGGGATGTAGGGCTCAAGGTCTTGTGTTCGGGTCGCGACCCTAGCTTAGTGTTGCGGCCTACAGGTTGCTGTGCCCAACCCTGGCCACGGCGAAAGCCCTAAATCCTACAAGCATTCCAACGCCTGCAGGATGCCTCCTCCCGTGGGCCGAACGCCGGAAAGAAAGTAAGCCCGCAGTCACGGCACTTGAACTCTGTGCCGCGGCCCGCAAACGCAAGAAGCAAAAGCACACGCCTTCAATCATTCCAAACCCTTAAAGCCCTGCACCTCAACCCGAAGACCGAAGACCAGGAAATCTTTCCGGCTCAGGCAGAGGACCTCGGGCGCCGAGCATTGCTTGGTGGGGAGAAGGAGTTTGGCCAGGCTGGGCCTCAGGAGAGCACAGGTCTTCGGGACTCTACCAGTAGCTCAGTTTGGGGTCGTTTCGACATTACGATGGCGTGTACCCTAAAGACTCAGACGCCCTGTAGACTTCAAAGTCTGCAGCTTCTTTACAGTCAAGTCCCGAAGATAGTGACATTAGTGACTACTAGTCTCGTGCTTGATTTGGTCTGTTTGCTGCACATTAGAAACTTAAAAGACACCTACGCAGGGTTGATGGCATCGGATAGGGTGTGGGAGCCGGCAGGATTCTGGCTTACAGGCTTTTCTAGTGTTTTGACTTGATATTAACGGCTCTTTGGGTGCCCTGCTGTTACTTTTTGTAAGATCGCATACAGAGCCCCGGAGTATTGAATCCAAACCCACCAGCAAAACCACACCAAAGAGCACCACGCACTACAACGAGGAGAAAGGTACGGGCTCAACACCTGCAGTAAGAGCCCCCGAGTCCACCTCGAGGTGCATCCAGAGACCCTGACCTACGTGAACACGCATCACGGCGAGGAAAGCGCAGGTTTGAGGGTTTGGTGGGTTTTCGAAAACTTCAACCGTGAACGCAAAGTCCGACCGCGGACACAAACCGACGGGAGCTTGAACTCTGAACCATCAGGTCTTTCACACTCCTCCATGCCCCAAAGACTCTTTCAGTGATTCGATTTCTGAGGGTCCGAGTTCAAGGGTGCTGCCGTAGAAGCGCAACAACAGCTGCAGACCTTCGACTACCCCAAGACTGAAACTGTGCGGACATTAATAATACGGTATAGGTATAGTCCTGGTGCCGAAAGGCTGGTCAAGCACAATGCCTGCATTGATTCTAGCCAGGCTTGTTGTGCCTCCCTTAAGGTGAGTCTAGAGATGCCGTACCCGGGACCAGCCTTCAAGCCTATTCAATTTGCGAGCCGAGCCCTTCCTAATGGCATGTGTCGCAAACTCGAAGGTGTGTGTGTGGAAGGGCCGAGGATTTGTGCGTTCATGGTTCCCCAAACCCCAAACCTGAAGACGGAGACTCTGAAGCCCCGCCCTGCCCCGACAAAGTCCATTCCTTGTTCAGAATTCTAGCCTTGTAAAACCTAGATCTCCTCGGGACTAGAAGCCATCTAATAAACGTACGGTCGTGGCTTTTCGGCTCTTTCAGAATCCTAAAACTAGGTCATAAACACTGGACCTACACCTTCAATGCCGAAGCGACTCACGTTTACTTTGTCCTACAAGGTTGGCGAAGGTTCTGCAAGCGCAGAACAAGGTTGACGAGGCTGAAACTCTCCAAGAGCGGATGCAGCTCGGCCAAGCGAGGGCTTGGGGACGCTAAGAGCCCGGAAGCGCGTGCCCGAAAGCCTGAGCCCAAAATCTTCAAAGCCTCACAGGCTTACTATGTCAACGCAGAGTCTGCAGCACTCAACCGGAGAGAAGTTTCGAAACAAAAAAGATCGCACCAAGAGTGTAGCCAAGAATGCGCAGGCAGCCCAATACACAGAACTGGATTGACATTTCAGGTCTGGGGTGACAGATCCTATAAGCAGGAAGTGGACTGCATTTGTGTAAGCTTTTGGTCTTGGCGTTCAGGCATTGGCTTAGGGGTTGAGTCGAGGGATTCAAATTGGGGCTTCCGGCCGGAACTCAAACGCACCATCGAGAAAGGGCTGTTCTTTAGGTCAGAAGTTGGGGGTGTGAGTTGGTATTCTAGATTCTAGGGTTGGGCCGGTGGGGCGGGCCCCCCCATTCCCGAAGCCATACCCCCCCTTGTCCGACCAACAAGCGCTTTCAACACAGGACGAGAAAACACTTGCAGTCCGAGGCCAGCCTTAAACTGAAAGTCGCTTACACCCTATTAAATGCTATATGGCTATGTATATATATATAAGTATGTATACACCCCGTCGATCGTTTTGATGCCCTAAACTTCATCCCGCGTCTTAGACCATCCTGAACCATTATCCGCTGCACTGAAGACCCCGAACTCAGTACCGACTCTTCTAGCTGAAGGATGCAGGACAGTACTTTGTCCTCCTTGAGCCAGCTGGGCTCTCTCCTCCATGAGCGTGGCAAGCTCTCCGAGGTCCTTGTGGGGCGAGTTAGCAGTGTAGCTTAGGGCTTAGGGTTCAGAGTTTAGGGCCGATGGTTTGGCCTTCGGTTCCGTTCTGATCATAGACATGTCCCAACATTTCCTTGTTTTTCGTTTCCTATCAGCCGAGGGTCTGAAGTCTATGTTAAACCCAGCTGAAGGGTCTTGAGATTCAGAGCCCGGAGCCCTTACTGTAACATCCCATTAACCTTGCCAACCCTCACCACCCATCCTTGGGATTCAGGCTTTGGGTCGGGGTTTCGTAGCTCGGATCTGTACGGTTTCCGGTGGAGGGCTTACGTCTGGTCAAGAGCATTGAAACATGGGAGCATCTGGCGGCCAGAAAGCATCCTTAAACCACAAAGGCTTTGGTATCCGAATTGAAGGCAACAGGCAAAGAAAGTCGCAAGGCATCTTGCCGGGAACCCAATGTAGCACATCGTTGTGGCTCATATCCGGTTCGGAGCCGGAAGGTGTACTTTTAGCCGAAGTCCTAATGACTCGATCGATGCGCCAAAACTGAGAATCTCGATAGTTGGGTCAGGCAGAAACTCTCCATCGACGAGTTCTGCGCCACTCGGCGGTTCTTTTTCTGTAAGTGTTGCCTTAACTCAGTAATTGCGAGTTGCAACTTGTGGTTCGGTGGTTTTCCATGGAGGTTTATTTAGGCTGTAGCCTTCCGGGTGTCTCGCTGTTGCTTTCAGGTTTCAGATTACTTTGATCTCGGTCAAGCCTCCAGCTTCAAAGTCTTAAGGCCAAACCGCGGCTGAGCTAGTCGGGGTGCGGAGCCTATTCCCTAAACTCTAATGCAGTAAACCCTGAACTCTATGGACCCTTGAACCCTTCTAACTAGGATTAGCCGCTCCTTCCTCCGAGAAGCACCCGTGGAAGCCTGAATCCCCATTTCGAAAGTAGTGCTCGTGGACTTGGACCCGAAGTCAGCGAGTCGAAATCCTGAGCTCGGGCGTATGGGGTGGGAATTCGAAGATGTCTGCGTCGAAGTCCTCACAAAACCTCTGCTATGATTCAAACATAGGCTCGAGACATGAGGCCGTGAAGGATCGTGGGCAGCTCGATATATACAGCTATATGTGAGCATCTCCTTTCATAGCAACTTGGAGTCCAGTCCCAGTCAAGGTGTTGAAGCTACTTGTAGCATCTTCTCTCTAAGGCCATTTAGTCCCGTCTTGTCGTCGAATCAGAGCCGCTCCAATCATAACCCCCCCCCCCCCAAGGTTAATGGAGCCTTCCAGTGCGTCTTCAGTATGTCTCGGGGTTCAAGGAAGCCCCAGAGCCGAATAAATGCCATGCCCACAGACTCCTCTCAAGGCGAGAGGAGGAAGCTCGACCCGAACCACACGGAGACGCTGAACAGCGCAACTGGCCCGCAGATGTCGTCGATCAGGGCATATATACGTTTGAGCTTATTGTCGGTGTTGCCGCAACTCGTGGGTATCCTAAGCCCTAAACTCCAAGCTTATTTAGGTTTCTAATACAGTAGGGATTTCAACAAACCTTCATTACTTTCGTCAAGCTTCGACTGGTCTCCGGTTTCCTGCTTGGCTGGAGGCTTGTGCTTTGGCATCCGTGCTGCGAGATCAGGGCGATATGGTGGCTGGGCCTGGAACCAGGGCTCTTTGAGAAGTTCTATGCTAGGGCTGATCGAGACTTAAGAGGAATAGTGGAACCTGAGTTCGTGGAAAGACATACATTCATGTCTACGATGGTAGAGAAACATGCCAGGTTGCCAGTATGTACAGCATGCGCCTGAAGCTTCTTGTAGCTTCTTAAAGCATATCCGAATGCGTATTTCACATTTGTCTGTGGATGCGGGCATGCTTGTGCGCACGTGTATGTATATGTGTAGGCATCTGTGCATGTATCTGTATAAGCCTGTGCTTAACGTGCGCCGCAAAGCCAGCGGTGCCGCTGTAGCCTGCTGTGGACTTACCGCCTCCAAGGATGGGCTGTCAGGAGTCCTTTAATTGAACCATCAGTATGCTGCTGCACCCAAGGTAGGGCTCTTGTGACACACGGATTCTGTTTAGCAGGCCCTTCGGCAGGAGAAGGTTATGGCAAGCGCTGAGGTGAAGGGGCTTCATGAATCCCCAACTCCAGCCGTCAAGGCCTTCGGGCGTAGGGTATGCTCAGTCTACTTATCCAGCTTGCTGTTGACTATATGCGCCACACTCACTCTTCGGAGGAAAGAGGCTGCCCAAATGCCCTATCCAATTCAGTTTCGTCGACATAACTCATGGCTTCGATCCCTCATTACCTATCCTTCCATTCGGCTGACTATTAAGGTAGGTTTGCGTCTTCATGTCGGGTATCCTTCCGTAGCTGACCCCAGCATTTCTGCGAGAATGTGCCCTCGCTTTAAATCCCGTAGAACCGTCATTTTCAACGGTGAGTCTGCAGAGCGCCATTGACCTAAACTCCGAGGCTGAGTCCGAAGATCTCTACCGAGAAGCCCTCGAAGGCCACGGGCGATCAAGACAAGAAGGTGAGTTTGTTTTGTTTTTGAGGGGGGTGGGGGCTGGGGGCTTGGGGACTTGGATGGTTTCGGATCCTGTCCTGCCCAGCTTGATCGAGAACCCGAGGTTTTGGGGTATCATCTTGAGCAAAGAGGGGCCCTTCCTAAATATACCCTTAATATAGCTATTATATACCCATTATTTTGCCCATTCTAGGGTAGGGGTCCCCATTAAGGGTCCCCCCTATTCCCCTTTGACCCTTCCTAGTCCTTGGAAGGTTTTGAGCCTAGCAGTAGTTCCTACAAGTTTCGCCCTAGTGTTATTTCGTACAGGGGGTCTGGCTTCTGGAAGATTATCCAGAGGGCCTGGATACCTGCAACACGAAACAGTAAACTAACGAAGCTGATCCTTCGGGATACTTTAGGTTCCTCAGAGCGAGAACCCTCCACCCAAAGTCTCCTATATGGTTGCTCCCGGTAGTTCTAACCGTGTATGAAGCAAAGAAGCTGTCACACTTCCTTCCAGACCCTAGCTTCCGGTGCAAGCAGTGGGTCAACTTTCATGGTCCGGTCGCTCTTCCTTGTTTTTCCGAAGCGTCTCCTGGAGCCCTTCTTCTAAGCTTCCCCATGGGCCCTCCCGGACCAAGTGCAGTCTGAGGTACATTGGGGTTTGGGTTTAGGTGCAGGATCTGTGATCCTCGGCTAAAACTTCGGCTTCATAGTTCTAGAGTGATCTGGACACCCATGAATCGTGTTTTTGGAGATCCTCCCAGTTGAGGTTCTGGGATTGTCGTGCCAAGCGCTAGACATTTAGCTTAGCCTCTAGCCTTTGATTCGGGATTTGGAATTTTCAGTTGTCGGATGAGGGGTACTTTATGATTCAGGACCCTGAGCCAAGGATCCTACTAACTCCTTAGGGACTACAACACAGGCTCGCTTAGGGACTCCTAGTTTCCTTGCCTATTGTCCAGGGTGAGGGACGTTTGCGGCTCGTTCTCACTGAAGGAGTGGAACATTTGTCTCCGCAGGCTACGAGAAGCTCGATCGCTTTAGTGCCAACATCGCCACAACGGCAACAACATTGGTGCCTCGCCGTGCATTACAAAACAAGCTAAAGTAAGTCTCGCGGAGTAATGGTCGTGGTAGCAGTAGTAGTATTCGTAGTAGTCGTCGTCGTGGTGGTGGTGGTTAGTAGCAACGAGAAACTAGTAGCAGTCGTAGTTCTAGTCGTGGTAGTGGTGGGCTTTGATTCTAGCAGCTGGGGACGCGCCCGACTTCACCTCGTGATGGCCCGAGAGAGCGGCATTTTTGGTGCATCGGTTTACATGAGTTCTGTAGAGTTACATATCCGGCAGTGTTGTTTACGTTGACGGTGTGCTGCTTGCTATAGTCTAGTGTGTTTCGCTACGATCTGCGAGGTTGAATTGCGCGGTTTCCTTGGGGCTCTGAAATCGTGCATCCTGAATGCGAAAGTAAAATCGAGCAGGCATTGACGGCGGCTTGCTTTGAGACTTCAAGCTTCAAACAGAGGGTGCACAATCACGGTCTCACCAAAGCCCCTGGTAAAAAAATGACATCTGCTTGACTCCTCTTTCTGAAGTTGCGGGCTTAGCTGAGGCTGAACCCAACACCCTGACACCGCAAAGCTGGTTATACTGTACCCTCGACTCGACCCAAGGCATCACTCCTGGATAGCCAGGGCAAACACGAAGAAGCAGAGGACCTGAGAATGTGTTCGTGCCCTAGGGTTGGAACTTAAGGTTCAGGGCTCAGGGGTTGGGTATTAAGAGTTGAAAGGTTTATGTGAGACATGGTGGGTTTGATGTTGCTGGGCTGGCTTTCATCTATGGCGGCATGTATGCAGCTGCAATCCTTCTGAGGCCGAGTCTGCTGGAACTAATCGCCAGGTCCATGAAGGCCCCTGTGCCGAAAATCCTTGGCGAACCCCGTAAGCCATAATCTAATCCCTTTTTTCTCTATTTCTAGGTGTAGTAAGTGTAGTACATTATACATCAAAGCCATATTCCCATTGTTGCAGCCTCTGAAGTCTTGAGTCCCAAGACCTGAAACTAACAAAGCCGAGCATTCAAAGCCCTATGCAACCCCAATAAATGATCTGTTCGAGCAACAGTCGGCAAAAGGTTTCGTTCAGGAAAGAACTCCCTGTCTTAGCAGGACCTGCTTCGACAGGTCCTGGAGGGTCGCGAGGAGACGTTGGGTGAGTCGCATTTGCAGACCCTTCGGACTGTGCCGTGCCTGTCGGGGGTTTAAAGATGGCGAGCATTGTTCTTGAACAGGTCATTTGCATGTTTTGGGGCTTTTCCACGAAAGTTGTCTGCAAGGGCTTTAGGCTTTGGTTTGTGCTGTTGATTTTTGTGAGCGCAGTAATTTTGGATTCATGGTTCAGGGCAGGGGCTTGGGTGTTCTTGTCAAAAGTGCAGTATCCGCTGGGTTTGCGCAGGGCGTTGGTGGTTTCAGCTGTGTTCTGCTTTATAAGGACTAAAAGATTGGCGTTGAAGCTCGCAGGACGTCGGTGGCTTTGGAAGGTTCTTTCTCCTGTCTTGCTGGTGGACTGGCTACCTTCAGCCCAAGCCCCACTCTACATTGTCTCTACACTACAAGCCCTTGAACTCGGAAGCCTCACTTGACGAATCCCCACGACCTTTTCAGCCTACACGTATAAAGTCTCAGTCATAAATCCCCCAACCCTCGTAAATCCTAAACCTTCAGCCCAGAGCCCACGATATATACCTAAATACCTCTGTGAGGTGCAGCATCTTGCACGACACCTTCGGGCGCAAAAGCGGCGTAGCGAAGCAGAGGACCTCTACCTTTCGGGTGGATTTAGGCTCTGCCTTTCGGGTGGGTTTAGGGGGTCAGTCCGTTTGGAAAAATACTTAATTAAAATTAGAGATTTCAAGCAGGAGATGGCAAAGGTTTTTTGCTACAACCATGATCATGCTAGAATAAAGGGTTAAGAGATAGGTTCAGATAGGTGTAAGCACGACGTTACAGGCCAGCCAGTACCTTGAGCGAGGTTGCACTTCACTGTACTTTCTGGCTGCCTTAGTATAGCCAGGTCTTATGGCCGTACTTATTGCAGCACGATGAACCTTCATGTAGCTAGGCTCTGAGATACATCCCCTCAAACAGCATGGAACCACAAAAAAGTTCCTATCAACGGCTACAAGGCCACTACAAGTACCTTATAGTACTCTTATGGTAACTCTCCCGGGTCCAGATCGTAAAGTCGACCGAGGGCCAGTTGGGATTTCATGTTCGCTTTCTCCTCCTACCGGAGGCTCTGGCCCGAACAATCCAGAAGCCTACAGGGCTGTTAAGAGTTGGCGGCTCAAGGTTCAGGGTGCATGGCTTCAGGGTCCTTTAGGGTCTTAGGGATTTTGAGAATTTGGGGCCTATGGAGCTTGGAGGTTCAGGCTTTGGGGAACTCGTTCCGAACTAGGCCATTAGGCATGCGTGGTGATGCGAAAAAGACTCGGCAAAGACCCCTGGTCAGGATCTCTTCTGGCGCGCTCTGGAGGGTTTCGAGGCGATGGGCCCTTATTCCGAAGTGATGATTGCAATTGGCCTGGTCCTGGTTGATATAGGCGATCCGATTCAGGATGCGGTGTCCAAGAAGCTATGCCGAATGTCGAGCCTTTCGTGCATCCTATATGTATGGGTTTCTTAAACTCAGGTTGTCTTTCTTAGAGGTGTACAATCAAGGCCCTATCAATCATTCAGCCTTCGCTTACACTATTGAATTTGTTGGCAAGTTGTTTTGGCAAGAGCATTTTTTATATTAGTTAGCTGCTGGTCAGAACCATTGACACGAAGAGCCATGCTGCAACAATCAGGTCCATACTCAGGAACAGAAGCCTTGAGCTGAACTCCAGGTGTCCTGCGCCCGACAAACAAAACGGGATTCTCAGCAGATGTCAGTGCTGTGGGCAGGTCCATAAACTAGGGGTGGCCTGACTGAAAGGCTTTATTGGGCAACCCAAAAGCAATCTCATCCCTCAACTGTCAAGTCCTAAAATCCTAAAATTAACCTGCCTCTTCGTGGAAACAGGAACAACTCGGTGAGAAGTTCCCGACTCAGTTCAGGTTCCTACGGTTTGGGGCTTTGTGGGTTCGAGGGTTTGGGTCCATTGTCGGCCTGTGGCACTTCGGATCGGGATGGTTGGTGTCCAGTGTGCTCTGGGTGTGGGGCCTGTGAAGTGTAGAGTTCAGGGTCTATGGGTCGGGCTTCACGACTACAGATAAGTCGGGTACTGGCGAGCGGCTGCACAAGCTTGCTGCAGTGTAGACTTGTCATTGATTACTCCAGAATGTAATATCGTGGGAGCAGCTCGCAGTGGCTTGCAAAAAGGAGAGAAATCGAGGCGTGGCAAGCAGTGCTTGTGCGAGCGAGGCTTCGTTCTGATGGAGCTAGTGATCATCACGGTCATTGTAAAGGTTCTGACGGCAACGTTTTCTGCAGTATGGATCCTACTAGTAATTAGGTCTATAGGGCTCGTAATCAGGTTCCTACAGCGCACCAAAAGCTGCCGAGGTCCATGGAAACCTTGGATCTTGTTCACGAGATCGCTGAGCTACTCCAGGCAGGTTTGAGCTAAGGCCTTTTTCATGCCAGGGCTTGCAGCTAGGCTTCACATCAGTGCTTGCGGCTTGCGTCTTCAGGCCCAGGCGTCGGGCGAAAAGGGTGTCGATTTCTGCGCCGGTGTCAGATGACCGAGTTCGCTTGTTCCTTCTGCATGTTGTTTTAATCAGCCGGTTGCAACGCTTGAGTTGAAAATGGCAGACGGATTGAGGGAGCTCCCGGTCTTTCTAGATTTAGGAACAGTTCGGATGGACTCGAATCGAAAGGCATTTGGACAAGCGGTAATGATAAGTCCAAGTCCAAACCTATACAACCTAAACCTGTAGGGTTCCGGACTCTGGAACATGCCGGCTGCTGGCGTGGCTTAGTAGGGTCAGCGCTGTTTGCGCGGACATCCTGTCTGCCATGTCTCGCAAGCCCCACGCCTTATCCCCCATTCAAGCTGGGCCCCCCGTTTTTGTAATGAGTTTTTGGTTTGCACAGGAGGTCGGTGATGCCGCGGAGGCAGAGAAACTCTTCCGACGCGTGCTGTCTGGACGAGAGGCGGCTTTTTGTGATGATCTTTCGTTCACACTGCAGTGTTCTCCTCTTGAGAGCCTGGATTGCAATTTAAAAGCCCGCAACATCTGAATTGCTGCAGACATGACAAAACCCAACACCCCAACCTGTGTGTCGGAGAACCTCCTGCTTGAACTGTGTAACTCATTGACTCCCCGGATTGTCCGGATAGCTAATCTAGCAGTTGCTCAACGCAACGTAAGATGCAAGTGCGAGTCCTGGAAGACATTCAACCCCAGTTGAAAAGACACTGCTGAGGGAGTGGGGTTCATTCTTGTCTGGTCTTTCTGGTGAGCTGCCTCGCAGGCCAAGCTTGGCACGAGTCACGTGCAGACGTGGGCCTCCCAGCATCAACGATGCCCCTGATCAGAGGAAGGGTTTACGGTGTTCAGGTTCGGATCTAGGTCTTGGTTTTGGGGAAAACATGCCTGGGTGTGTCAAGTATGTATGTGTTGCTGCGACATGAGGTCTGAGATATGTCCTTGCACGGCGGAAGTCTGATAGGTTCCTGCACGTCAACGTGATTGGGGTGTTGGCACTGCACACCTGGTTCTGAGGTGCCGGACATTCCCCCTTGACTGGAAAACGGAATGCCGTCGGTCCCATCGGTCGAAACGAATGCCATGGTGTCATGATTTTCGTAGGGGTCGGGCCACGGCCCTGCATTGTCACATCCTGAACCCGGAGCCCTAAAATTCCTGGCACATCCGGCCCAAATATGGGGACCTGCATGGGGTTTGCAAAGTTCGCACTTGACGTCTGCGCGATCAGAGACATCTTGAGTCTATGCCCAAGACTCGAGCTGGTGGAAGTACTCTGGCGGACACAGAAGCTGCGAAGAGGCATGGCAGGAGATGTTAGGACTCCGAACCATAGGGACCTTCGCCTCGAACATGTTCAACAGCAGCTGGCCCGTTTGATGCCCTGTTCATTCGCAGAACCGGCAGGTCCACGACAAGAACCCAGAAGTGTGACCTGTCATTGCATGTGCTTCTTCCGTTGTGTTCAAAACACCGCCGGCGGCCGTGATCCGTGAAGAGCAGTGTCCGACCCTTACTTCCCAGTCGGGAAGAGGTTTCATCTCTGCATCATTGTTCTACAATATGTGCCGAGCTGCTTGGGCTTGACTGAGTCCAACACTTCGTGACCGCCTCGGCGATCGCCTGGATCCGAAGCCGTGCGGCCTTTGCAGATACGGCCGTCCGTCTTGACCGCACCAGCGAGAAGCGCTGTGCCATCGAGGGCCTTGCCCATTATCTTGCCAGAGCTCACTGCAACGGTAGTTGGGGTTTTGCTCCAACAGCGCTCGCATCAGCCATAGGGTTGTCATAGTAACAAGTGATCAGTTCAGCGATTACCAGGGGATACTGTGTCACAGTGTCACAGCTATTCCGACCCCTCGAGTACCCCGTTTGACACACCCCGGCTCAGGCTGACTTCAGTTGATGCCCTGGCAACACTGCTTTTGGAGTCAGGCCTGCAAAGGTTGTTTTAGGAATGTCTTTGTGGCTGACTGTAAGGGTTCGGGGAGCAGAGGGTTGAGGGAATAGGGTTTACAAGGATTAGGTCTTCCACATCGAAGTTCGGTTTGCTTGGTCCTTTGTGAGCGCTTGGTCAGAAACTGGCAAGATTAGTGCTTTTTTACACGAAAGAATAGTCACAAGCGTCGACAGTGTGGAGTCCTAAGTATACTCCAAACATGAAACCTAATGGCCCAAGACAACGGAATGGACCGAGGGTCCAAACGGCGGGTGTAGGGTTTCGGGCTTTCAGAAAGGGTTCTGGTTTTCAGGATTAAAACCGTGTCTCGAGAGTTTAAGCTTTAGGAGCTGCAGTGTAACCTGGACTCCTTAGAGGCTTTTTCTTCAAAACCCGAGGAGATTAATGAGGCGCAGTTGAGTTTCAGAGTGCTTGCCTCAGCAGGAGTTCCGCTTACGCCAACTGCAGCAGCTTACCGTACCTTGAGCAAGATCTAATAGTAGACAGGAAGCTCAATCTTCCAATATAGAGTTCTGATGGCATACGGTATACGGAAAGTGAAATAGTGTACGGTGTACCCGAAACACGTGGCTGCGTAGTGTTCATGGTGGCTTGGGATGTGAACGCTATT